TTTATATAAAATTACTGTGTATTCCTCAATGACTTCAAAATATCATGGTGTACGCTTGACAACCAATGGGATGACTTAATTATTGTATTACAACTAACAGAAATTGCACGCTTTCTTTTGTAATGCAAGTAGTGGCAATTGTTTTACCAATCTCCAAAGAGATTAAAATTCTGAATAACTATATGAAAATACGCAAGGCTTTTTGGTAGCCGTAGTAAAGTTGTCGTCGTGCAAATGATCTAGTATATGAAGAGAAATCCTGAAAAAAACCTTTAAAATCGCACCTTTCACTCACAGACAATCATTATTATAAAACTCAGGCTGTCTCTTCTGCTGCCTGCTTCTATTGTGATAATTAATGGTCTTTACAAAAGTATGTATATATAACTTCGACCCTTACGTTGTACAACAGAACTTTTAGATATGTTATTCATCCGATATACGCAAATGGATCCASAAACAAATGCATAGCTTCTAATTTTCTTTAATTTGCCTTCACAGATCCTCTTCCGCCAGAGCCTGGTGAGTAAATCAAATCCTTATCATAAAGAATATTTWTCCAAATAATGTAATATTTTATTGAATGGATAGCACGGATTCACATAGGCCAAAAGTATTACAAGTTGTATTTTGCTTGCATTTAGTTCCTTTCGTATATATTTGTATTCGGAATTATGTCGTTTCGTACATGGTCGTTGTATCTGCTTGACGCTACTCAGAATAAACTTCGAGTCTTCCTTTTATCTTTTCTCTGATGGACATAAACGACGGTATTTTTTTGCTCTTTTTCTCGCAGATATTTTAAAATTAAAATTAATCACAGCACCGTGCGTAGTGGTAGACTATAGGTTGTCATTGATATTATTCATTATTTGAAGATCGCAAAGATGGAGGTCGTCATTTAATTCTTAATATCCCGCTCTCGTCAAAAATTATGTAAACATTAGGTCGAACTCACATTTTGCGTTTTGACCAGACAATAGATGAAACTTTATTGCGCAAAACTAACCACGTGAAAACTGCTTGCCTCTAAAACTTGCGTACTCTCGATAACAAGCAAATACGCTTATTTTGTCTTCTGGATTTGATTTTTGTTTCTTCAATTCGTCAAATACTGATTCTGAATAAAATAAATATAGAAAACTAACAGTGTAAATAACGTTCCCTAAATAGCGAAACTGTCGAACGGTGCAAAGCGAGAACTATTCAAGAACAAGACTAGGAAATGGATTTTAGCTATTGTATTATTTGTTGGAAATTCTTTGTTTCTGGTGACAAGTGGTGAGAAAAAAAAGTTTGAAATGGAAATATGTTGCTTTTCTCTATTGAGATAATTCATGCTTAAATATAGCGGTGCCGCGTACCGTGAGAAGCATCTTCGTTGCACACGAGACCATTTGCTAGTACCTGTAATTACACATTACGAAAACCGAGAAATTGGAATTCAAAGTATCGCTACAACTCAAGCCAAACAAAAACTTAAAAGCAAAATTTGAGAAAGCACGTCATCACAGTGACAAAAATGCTGCTGTACTGCTGAGTTTTTTGTCGCGCTCACAACTTTTCAAAAAATGTTTATAAACTTTTTGATATGTAAAGCGCGCTCTGATTGGCTGACGACCGTGTTTATATCAGAGGACAGAGACACGGCTTATCGGCAAAATTTTCTTTTCGCTCGAAAAATTTTATAAAAGAAATATAAAACGGCCGCTTGTGTCTCTGCCCTCTGATATAAACACGGTGGGAGTTTAAAAACACTCGAGAAGCAAGAGAAACAMTCGCTACGCTCGTGTTCCTAAGCTTGCTTCTCKYRTRTTTTTCGAACTCCCACCGTGTTTATATCAGAGGACAGAGACACGTGCGCCGTTTTATATTTCTTAATTAATTTTTTGTGACTGAAATTCTCAATTTTCAACGTCTGCCTGGTCACCTTTTTGTTGCAGCTTATCGTGTGTCGGAGTAAAGAAACACCAATCAACTTATTTGTAGCGTTCCTTGTAAGTCCTGACATGTAGCTTTGTTTGTCCTTTTTGATTCTTCTCGACAAACCGTAAATAAAGTTTCACTTCGAGAAGGGTGAATGCCACCATGAAATTAAGTCAAGCAGAGATTCAGTTTGCGCCCCTGGCATATTTCAAATATATACACCTACTTGCAGAAACGTTGTCATGGAAAGTAGAACATTTGAATTTAGTAAAAAGAAATGAATTAAAATAAGACAAAATAAAGCATTCAGCCTCATTGATCTTCTTTTGTCTTTTTAATTCATTCCTTTTTACTAAATACAAATGTCCTATTTTTTATGACAACGTTTTCGCAAGTACTAGGTGTATATGGCACGTTTTTTGCTTGTTGCCCTTGTGGTCTTCCACACTATAACCATATAATTAAAGTTTATAAATAGAGCTTGCTGAAGAAGGGTGAATGCCCGATCGACTCCAAGAGTAGAAAAACATGTTGCAAGTTGTGTGTCTTTTTCTTCAATTTATTCTATTCATAAATAAAGGTTCATATATGATACTATTTACTAAAAAACTGTTCTCACTTTCAAATGAAATATGTCTCTCTCGGTTCTTGCTCTACTTTCCTGTGTTTGTGGATTTGAAGCCTCTTAATGGCATCAGTCACAAGCAGACCTCGACTGCCTAATTTCTATATATTTATAAAAAAGACGTTTGAAATTAGAGTAATAATAAACTGAGAAACCTAATAGAGTGCTCGCACTAAATGCGTGAAATATAAATACTACAAAATAGGTGATAAATTATACAAATTCCTTTGTTTC